CCACTCAGGATCCCTTCCCTGGAGTATTTCGAGTCCTTTCCCTGCATTTTGGGGTGCACAGATTCCCATTCCCGGGGTGCTGGGGGTCTCTTTCCCACTCAGAGTCCCTTCCCTGCTCCTTGGGGTGCTCAGGATCCCTTCCCTGGGGTATTTAGGGTCCTTTAGCCGCATTTTGGGGTGCTGGGGGATCCCTTGCCCACTCGGGGTCCCTTTCCTGGAGTATTTAGGGTCCTTTCCCTGCATTTTGGGGTGCTGGGGGGTCCCTTTCCCACTCAGGATCCCTTCCCTGGGGTATTTAGGGTCCTTTCCCTGCATTTTGGGGTGCACAGATTCCCATTCCTGGGGTGCTGGGGGTTCCCTTCCCTGCTCCTTGGGGTGCTCAGGATCCCTTCCCTGGGGTATTTAGGGTCCTTTAGCCGCATTTTGGGGTGCTGGGGGGTCTCTTTCCCACTCGGGGTCCCTTCCCTGCTCCTTGGGGTGCTCGGGGGTCCCTTCCCCAGTGTCCCCAAATGTCCCTCTCTGTTCCCCACAGCCCTGAGGTGCTGAGATCCCTTTCCAGAGGGTTCCATCCCTGCTCTCCCCCATCCCGGGGGGGCCCTGGGGTCCCCTCCTCTCCCCCCAAACTCCTTTCCCGAAGCTCGGGGTCGATGTTTCCGGCCTTTCCTCCGCAGGGATTTACCTGGCGGGGTCCTGAGCGGCTCCCGGAGCCCCCCGAGCGCCCCCCGGGCTTCTCCCGTGGTTGTGTGAACTTGGAAACGCTGGATGGAGGAGGGGGAGCCTCTTCCTCCTCCTCCTCCTCCTCCTCCTCCTGCTGCTGCTGCTGCTGTCCCCCCCTGTCACCCCCGGTCGCTGTCCCCGTCCCCCCCGTGCTGTGAAGGGAGCAGGAGCTGCTCTTTTATTAAACATTTTATTTTCTAATAAATTCACCCCCGCTGGCTCCCGCCTCCCTCCTGCCACGGCGCCCGGCCCGTGTTCCCATCAATCCCATCAATCCCGTCAATCCCATCATCAATCCCATCAATCCCATCAATCCCATCAATCCCATCATCAATCCCATCAATCCCATCATCAATCCCATCATCAATCTCATCAATCCCATCAATCCCATCAATCCCATCAATCCCATCAATCCCATCAATCTCATCAATCTCATCAATCCCATAAATCCCATCAATCCCATCATCAATCCCATCAATCCCATCATCAATCCCATCAATCCCATCAATCCCATCAATCCCATTGATCCCATCAATCCCGTCAATCCCATCAATCCCGTCCCGTGTTCCCATCAATCCCATCAATCCCATCAATCCCTTCAATCCCATCAATCTCATCAATCCCATCAATCCCATCATCAATCCCATCAATCCCATCAATCTCATCAATCCCATCAATCCCATCATCAATCCCATCATCAATCCCATCAATCCCATCAATCTCATCAATCCCATCAATCCCATCAATCCCATCAATCCCATCAATCCCATCATCAATCCCATCAATCCCATCAATCCTCCATCAATCCCATCATCAATCCCATCAATCCCATCAATCCCATCAATCTCATCAATCCCATCAATCTCATCAATCCCATCAATCCCATCAATCCCATCCCAATCCCATCAATCCCATCAATCCCATCAATCCCATCAATCCCATCAATCCCATCAATCCCAACAATCCTGTCAATCCCATCAATCCCGTCCCGTGTTCCCATCAATCCCATCCCATGTTTCCATCAATCCCATCAATCCCATCAATAAATCCCATCCCATAAATCTCATCCCATAAATTCCATCCCATAAATCCCATCCCATAAATCTCATCCCATGAATCCCATCCCATAAATCCCATCCCATAAATCTCATCCCATAAATTCCATCCCATAAATCCCATCCCATATTCCCATAAATCCCATCCCATTTTCCCATCCCATCCCACAAATCCCATCCCAGGAGCCTCCTGGAGCTCCTTGGAAACTCCTCCCCGCGGGGAAACTGAGGCAGGGGTGGGGGGATTCCCACGGGATCGCGGGGTCCCCGCGGGATTGGGGGGCTCTGGGGCGGCACCAACTCCTCGGGGCCCCAAAATCCACGGATCCATCCCTGGATTCCGCAGCTCCAGGGGGGATTTGTGGCTCTGGGAGCTCCGGGGGTGGATTCCGGGGGGCTGGGAATGCTCGATCCCGCTCCCCTCGCCTCATCCCGGCAGGAAAACCCAGCCAGGTTTAACCAAATCCGGCTGAGCAGATGGAAAATTCCCCAAGTTTTAATGGGATGAGGCTGAATTCCGACGTGGAGGGAGGGAAAAAAGGGGAAAAACCCAAAAGGATGGAAAATTTTCCCAAATTTTAATGAAATGAGGCTGAATTCCAGCATGGAGGGAGGGAAAAGGGGGGAAAAAAGGGGGAAAAAATGGGGAAAAAAGGGGGAAAAGAAGAAAGGATGGAAAATTTTCCCAAATTTTAATGAAATGAGGCTGAATTCCGACGTGGAGGGAGGGAAAAAAGGGGGAAAAACCAAAAGGATGGAAAATTTTCCCAAATTTTAATGAAATGAGGCTGAATTCTGACGTGGAGGGAGGGAAAAAGCTGAGGAGACCGAAATTTTCCCAAATTTTAATGGAATGAAGCTGAATTCTGCCATGGAGGAGGGGAAAAAAGGGGAAAAAGCCAAAGGGATGGAAAATTTATCAAATTTTAATGAAATGAGGCTGAATTCCGACGTGGAGGGAGGGGAAAAAAGGGGGAAAAACCAAAAGGATGGAAAATTTTCCCAGATTTTAATGAAATGAGGCTGAATTCCGACGTGGAGGGAGGGAAAAAAGGGGAAAAAGCCAAAGGGATGGAAAATTTATCAAATTTTAATGAAATGAGGCTGAATTCCAGCATGGAGGGAGGGAAAAGGGGGGAAAAAAGGGGGAAAAAATGGGGAAAAAAGGGGGAAAAGACGAAAGGATGGAAAATTTTCCCAAATTTTAATGAACTGAGGCTGGATTCTGCCACAGAGGAGAGCAAGGAAAAAGGGGGAAAAGCCAAAGAAATGGAAAATTTCCCGAATTTTAATGAAATGAGGCCGAATTCCGCCATGGAGGGAGGGAAAAAAGAAGGAAAAAAAGGAGAAAAAAGGGGAAAAAGCTGAGGAGATCAAAATTTTCCCAAATTTTAATGAAATGAGGCCAAATTCTGCCATGGAGGGAGGGAAAAAAAGGGGAAAATGGGGGAAAAGGGGGAAAAGCCGAAGGGCTGGGGGACACAGGGAGGTGTCACCATGGGTTGGGGGACACAGGGAGGTGTCACCGTGGGTTGGGGGACACAGGGAGGTGTCACCGTGGGTTG